GGGTGCCGAGGGGTTAGGCCTCTGTGCCTGTCATTAGAAGGTTGTGGGTTCGAATCCCATGCTCATCACCCACACCCCCTCTGAGCCCTTGATCAAGGCCTTTAAGCACAAAAAACCTTCAGGGGCACCAGATAAAAGTGCTGACCCAACGCCTGGACCCCAGGCATCACTCTCACCACTACGTATGTGCGTGTGTGTCTTAAAAAAGGACAGCGAGATGGGCTATGTGAGGGGAAAAAAAGCATTTCGATGGTGAATAAAGGCTACAGTGCGACCAGTAAAGAGCAGAGTGGACCCAGTGCCGAAAGATCCGGCCTTGCGCCAAACCAGTCTCAAGTAGAGCGGAGTCTGATCTGAGCCAGATTCTCCGTAGCCGTGGAGGAAACCTGAGGTGACAGCATGACTAGATTAGCGAGGAGTTCCCTGTCTGTTAAGAGTGACGGAGTATTTCCGAGGAACAGCGGGGAGGAGTTACTGCCTGTGTGTGCTTACAATCGGCTGATCGCTGATTATGTGACGCAGCTGGCAGTGTGTAGCTAACGATAGCACACTGTCACACTGAATAAACAGCCCATTGTTTAACACAGTCACTGTTTACATACAATTAATACCTACGTAAATCGTTGAATCAAATTTCATGCCAATTCAGCTTAAACTTCCTGGCAATGCACAACTGGACAAAACAGTCATGCTTTATCCATTTCCGCTGGGAAACTGGGTGTTCTGATCTCCATGACATGGACACATGTACATATATACAGGGGAGAGTAAGGTCTGGGGTCCGAGACCTGAGCGAGCCAAAATCCAACGATCCTACAGACGGACCCACTGCTGATACCACTGCTCTGCTAGCCAAAGGGATTTGAACCCAAGACCTTTTACCAGAGAATGTACAAATGTGTGCCGATGGGGGGGGCGGGGGCTTGCCTTGTAAAATCTTCTCAGCAGATGAAGGCTCTCCTCTTTGGCGCCCTGGGGGACAGAGAACAGGTTCAACTAATGAAACCAGACAGAGCCGGAATGTAACCAATCAGACAGGCCCTGGTGTGCGGCAGACGAGAGTCACCCCTCAGAATGCCTTCTTAACGGGTGGAACACCTCTGAAAAATGTAAGCAATGAGATAACGGGGGTATTAATACAGAATCAGGTGACTTTAAACGCATCCGAGTGCAATCTAGATATCCAAAAGGAAATGGTGAGATGTTCCAACACCCCTCTCTCCTCTGAAGCAATGTTTTATCTCACCTTACCTCACCAGCCTCTCAAGACCGGATATTCATGCTGAGGTTCATTTATCTACTACATGCTTTCTATGTGACTGGATCCTCACTATTTCCCAGAATCAGCTGCTGCGGATAAACAATGACTGGGACGGTGAACTATGACTGACTACAACCCGCACAACAGGGCCAGCTTGTATTCCATTGCAAAAGGTACAGGCTATTATCTCGGCAACAACAGGTGTCTTGAACTGGAAAGTTAAAACTGAAAGGCCAGGGCGCAGATAGTCAGCTCAGATCTCAGTTACGGGGCGTTTCCTCATCCACTTAATGCCGGCTTCTTTTTTTCCCCCAAAAATCCATGAGGAGAAACAAGAAACGTAGCAAAAAGTTATAAGATTACCAGAGACAAGAAGGTCCCACCCTCCAATGAACAAAAGTGTAAAAAGCTCAATTTACTGAAGCCGGGAGTGATTCCTGAGGCGAGTCACAGTCAGACAACTGTGACTCCTCGTTGGCATGGTGACAGGATGGTATGGGATTTTGCCGCAGCCAATTCCACAGTCTGGAGGTGCAGTGGACAGGTCCCGGTACGAGGTTCCCGTTTTTGGGAGACCCCAGGGGTTTTCTCTCCGATTACCTCCAGACAGGCCAGATGGACGTCCTTGATGATGCAGCCGGAGAAGGCCACGACGGAGCGCTTCAGCAGTAGGCAGGTCAGCTCCAGGGTTGCCAGACGCACCTTGCCGTCTGCGGTGGGGGGGCGGGGTTGGGCACAGAAGCCAGACGTGACATCACAATGAAGAAGCCAGCCTTCAAATTTTACTCCAGGTTCCAAAAGTTGGACACGCTTACAATATGGGGGGGGGGATACCTACCGGGCTGAGAGGCCTGACTCATCACCATGATGAGCCTTTCAACTAACACCTGGCTGTAGCAGCTCCTCTCCTGGTCCTGCACGGGCAGCTGGATCTTCTGCAGAAGCTGCGGGTCGATACCTGCCCGGAGGAGGGGCCGTGAGACACGCTTCACCTCAAAGCGAATACTTGTCCCACACCCTTTCCAAATCCCTGTACATGTGAATGAAATCCCAGCCAAGAACAGCACAAAATGGTTTCACTTTCATTACGATAGCGCCCCCCACCCCCCCACCTCACTAGGTGACAGGACAGAACAGGCTTCTTGAACAATGAGGGCCCCACATGCAAACTGGAGAGAATTTCAGGACGGCATGAACTTGGAAACACACGTCACCACCCAGTATGATGAAAACCTCGCTACACAGCAGCTTGTATATTTGTGTTTTTACTCGGCGCCTTTCCGCACATCAGGGAGTTACAGGCCGTTAAGTCGTTGTTTATTTTAAGCTCCCGTGACCAGCGATATAAAGAGTTGGGGGGAAAAAAATCTGCTGTAAAATCACTAGCATTAGCTCATGTTCTGTTTGTCTGTAACCATCTCTTTTAAGTATTTTTTTGGTTTATTTCACTCTCCTTCCCTGGCACAGGTGACGATGGTGACCCTAAGCTGTCACTTGCAGCCAGCCGGCCGTCTCAGATGGTGCCCCCTGCTGGACATTTCACCTGAGCCCCACCATCGAGCTCACCTTTGCTGTGGGACATGGCGTACAGCAGACAGAGCACAAAGAGGGCGTAGTAATCATCTGTTGCACAATCCAGTGCATTGTACACCATGTCCAGGAACGGCCTGAGATGAAAAACAGACAGGTTGCAGTCACGAACATGTACTCAGAGAGCAGGCCAAACGTGACGTGACAGTTTCCTTTTGTCGACAGAGACATCTGGGACCTGTGGGTGGAACAGACTCAGGGACATATATTTACTTGAAAGAGTCACAGAATTACTCAGAAGACCCCCCAAAACTTTTTTTAAAAAACACAAAACTTCCTCGTGACATCATATCAAGAATTTCAGCTAAATCGCAGGCTAAATCACGGTGCATGGACACGCCGACAGTCCTCTAGAAAAATACCCTGGAAGGCCTTATAGTCGTTAGTAATTCTGAATGACTTGCAGTGATCATCACTGCGAGCCAGTGTGAATATTCTAATAAAACTTCACCCCAAAAGTGTGAAGTGGCACTGACCCAACAAACGCGCGGTCGACCACGTCACCACAAACAGAACTGCGAGTCACATGGACTAAAGCTTATCAAGCAATACAATAAAATAATCAACTCTGCAAAACAAAGAAACAATATTAAAGGCTGATGCTTTTTACTTAAATGGCCCAAATGATGCAATGACTAGGATACTTCAGAGAACAAAGCTGCCATATAAATCTCCCCCAAAGCGAAGCCAAAACCGCGATCAATACTTAACGCAATCCCCTTAATTTGCCAATGTCGTCAAAGAGGCCCCAGGTGTGCATTTTGAATGAGCTACCGGGAAGTAGCCTCCTTGCTAATAAAGGAACAATTAAGAACTGAAAGCTGCTTCTGTAAATGACTCTCATGTCTCCCCAAGGGGTTGATATGCTACTCTGATAGACTGGGGGCCAAATCCTCTTTGAGACCGGAAGCTCAAGTTCCTATTATTGGTGAGATTTGGTGGGTGGAACCCTTGAGCGCCCCTTTGAGTCCTCCCCAACACCCCCCAACTGCCCCCCCTGGCACCTGCCAAGGGCCCAGCGCTCCTCCGCCCACCTGCTCCGCTGGCCGCTGGTGCCCGCTGCAGCCGCCGCTGTCTTCTCCTCGTCCGTGATGTTCTGCTCCGTTGGCGCCGAAGGCTCGGACACCTTGCACTTCTCCATCACCACCATCTCGATCTCTGTGCGGGGACACAGGGGTCGGCAGTGGCTCTTAAGGGACCTCCAGGTGGACGTGCTTTTCCAACGCATCCCGTGGAACCGAGCGCGACCGTAAACATGGTTTTTTGGAGTCCCGTGGGATCGGCGTCACCGTGGGGTCGAGGCACAAAGGATAACGGGCGCAAAAGTAGTTACAGGAAGTCATCATAGTCGGATTTAGGGTGTGATTCAGGTCACTAACAAAGGTCTGGGGACAAGTCGGAATATTATAATAAAACATGTCAGGTTACAGTCATTGATCGAGATTACTTGAGCTGTTCATTTATAGGTGCGATGAGGGTATACAGAGGCTCTACGGAATACAGAAGATCTGGCCGAATCAGTCCACCTGGCCCCTTTAAATGGGTTTCTGTGGGACCCTGAAAGAGGCCAGCTGGACATCATTAGATGCTGGCACAGGGCCAGACACGTGGGCACCAGGAAACCTCGGAAATATCTGCCTCTGCACAGCCAATAAAGGTATCATTCAAGGTCACCGATTCCTTGATGTTACTTTCGTTTCTGCAAACAGGCAAGGCCATGGGGCTGAAACAGAACTATGTAACACACTGCTTTTGTTCCCTTCTACACATATAACAATGATATCGAAAGAACGGGCTCGCTGCGGCTCCACTCCAAGTGAGGCTGTACCCCAAGGAGTAGTCACCATGCTGGACACCGAAAAAAAGTATGAGTTAAGTTTTTAAACCCGATGTCCTTCAGAGATAGAGAGAAACAAAGACATCTGTCACGCTGCCTGCTGCGGATCGCCTAAGCTGCAAACTCAGCGGTGCCACCTGGTGGCGAAACAGATTTATAGCTGCAATTCAGCCTAGGGTTGCTCATGGGATCAAAGCTTTGACTACTTATTCTCATCACTTCGTTTGACAGAGAGATCCCTCTTTAAGGGGATCCCTCTAAAGAGCCCGGGCTACAGTGTCTCGAACAATGTTAGGTTCTGTCCACCATCCATTAGGCCCCGCCCATCCCTAGTAGGGTGAATAAAACAGAGCATGCATAGTTATATGTTTGTGTGTTTGGCTGAAAGCTGGCCGAAAACTGCTGAGAGAGCAGGCGAGCAAGGAGAGGCTAGACACGGAAGTAAGTTTTGGAGTTTTCCTTTTGTTTTTTTTTTTTGTTTTTGTCTGGACCATCAAAACAACAGCTTTGTTTAATTGTAATATCCGGAAAGTCCCATACAGCAGAACAAAATTCACTCCATGACACCCTGGGTCACATTGTTTTTAATTCCTGAGTCTACAAGTCTCTCGTGGTCGGAAATATTACCCTAGAAACAGACACACAACGCTCACTTGTTTTAGGTGGGGTACTGCACGCATTGCATGGGGCAGGACAATTTGGGATAATACAACCTATCTGCAATATTTGCATTTAAGCACCTGTGGCCTGTACTACGAAGCGGGGTTACTGGCTTATCGGGGTAACTTGTCGAATTTAAGGTAATCTGGGCAAAATGTAAGTGAACGAATATGAACATTTAAACTGTGGTACCTTAAATCCGACAAGTTACCTCGATAAGCCAGTGACCCCGCTTCAGCCACTGGAGAACAGGCCACTGGTATATATTTTTGCACCCAGGTCCAAAAAGCACTGATGACCCCAAACTGTTGGGGTCAAAGGAAAACCTGCATGTTACCCCAGAGTCTTCCAAGAAATGGGGTCCTGCCTCAGAGTCCATTACTCAATGCATGTCGACAATTAAAATTTGCTGCAGTATTTTTATTAACATCATCTGTTAACGTTTTGATTGGAGTACTGACCCTTCTTAGGAAAGTCAGCTAATGAGGTAGAAACTTTACCCCACAATGGCGATGGCTGTAGCTGCTGAAGGGTATTTTTTGTTATTAAAAGGATAATGTTTCCTTCACAAATACACAAAAGTAACAAATGACCTCAGAGCCTCAAACCATTCTCACGCTCCCTGTGTTCTACCTGATTATACTTTGACTCCCATTCCGGATTTGGACTTTCAACTTTTTCCATGACAAATAGGAGGATGCTGGCGCTGCTGCTTAACTTCCGTTTTTCTGTGTTTGCTTTCAAACTTTGGCAGTTTCAAACCTACAAGTCAGTATTAATGTAAACAGATCAAGGACTGTGATTGAGGACTGACCAGCTGACAAGCACAAATGATTGCATGCTCGGAGAGAAAAAGCGAGTGACTGCTAAACAGATGGAAAACATGGAATGGACAAGGACCAGGGCACTGGCATCAGAGGTCAGAGAACCAATGAAATGGAGCCGGGGGCGGGGCCTGGAACCACAGATCAGGCTGGAATACAGTAGGCTGGAGCACGGCCATCTACCACACTTAACCAGCAAGTTGTGTTACTGATGGCTCAGGTTTACCCTTGGGTCTAAAATGCACCTATGGTTTATTTTTTTTAGCCATGTTATTTGGCCAGTAGATGAGGCTTCCAGGTTTGACACCCCAGAAAGCTACTTACCAGAAGAGACTTAAGCCAAATTGATGTACCTGACCCCAAAATCCTTCCCAGGTACCTTCATTATGTGAGCAGCCCTTCCTTTAGCTTGCTGTCGGACACCTCCAGATTTACCTCGTGTCTCTTTGCTTCTCTGCACTATAACCGGCATCACCTCTGCCCTATAACTTGGTGGTTGGTGATTGGTTGCCGGGTGACGTGGGCTGATGCGGACTTGAGCCTGGAGGTTCGCAGAGCTCACAAGACTTTCTGCTCTGCTGACTCAAGAATGAGACTAGAGTGAACTGCAGGCCAAAAGCCCCCATGGTCTGTGACCTTTGGCCATGAGGCTGTTAGCCTCTGGCAGCCATCGCGTCATCCTCACAAGCTGGTTTCTCCAAGTCCTCCCACCACTATAACGTCAATAAAAAAAACCAGCATATGCCGATTCAGGGCCGTGCTTCACTAACGTCATCCAGCTTAGTGATCCGAGGCACCCCTACGCCCCTCCCTCCCCCAAGGCAAACAAACGGGACAGAAACCCGGACACAAGGCACTCACCTTCCATCTCCCCACTCGTCTTGCCGCCCTTCAAGCTAGCCTCTGTACCTTTAGCCTTCTCTGGGTTGTCCGAGCCTTCCTCGGGTTCCTTCTCCTCCTCCTCTTCCTCGCCCACATTCTTGTAGTTGGGCCTCTTCGGTGCCCTCTTGCGGCCTCGCTGCCGGTTGATCTCCAGCGAGCGTTCCAAACTTTCCGCAGGTTTAGTGAAGCGCCGGACGCTCGCATTTGACTGGGCACAAGGCAAGCGAAGACGAGAATTAAACTCAGCTCCGTTACAAAGTTGCAACTTTGTTGTTTTTATAAGCATAAAACACCCAATCTGGCCCAGGGATTGTGGACCATCAGTTGAAATCTGAATCATACGGGCATGAGATGGTGACTCAGCAAGAGATGACGAGCTGATGTCTCGGGTGTGGGAACATCCTGGCCAGGTTCTGGCATGGACCTGCCCAAAGTCCAGTTTACTTTGAATTCACAGGTGGGTTGTGGGGGACAACGAAGTACTTCCCTATACCAAGTATACTCTGTGCTCCACAGGTCTGAGAACAGTCTAGGCACAAGAAAACCATCTGGGTCACATTCATTTTCAAGAATGCCAAAGCAGCGTGAGAACATGCTCTGGAGAAGGGCCAACCATGCGTGCAAGTCGACTGCCACAACTGACAAGACAGTGTTCAGCGGCAAGAACATGTTAACAGACCAGGCAAAAACACCCCAGGGGAGGAAGTCACTTTACGTCAAGACCCTCTTTAAAGGCGAACAACAATCAACAAAGCTACACAAGAAAAAAAAATAATAAAAAACCGCTGTCGACATGCCGGAGGATTACCGAGCGTATTTGGTTAGCACCTCGAGGTTACGTACAGGTAACTAAGTGCTGCAGTTTCGTCAGCACCGCTGATAGCATCTCTCTAGATCGATGACAAACATTCTGAGTAGAGATGTGGTGAAGCGCTTCTCAAAAACGAAAAAGGAAAAAAAAAAACACACACACACAGCTACCGTTGTGCGCATCTGTCCGGCTCATGCAGCTATAAAGGACCCGATTCGAACAGAGGGGCAGCCATGCAACCCTGACGTCCATCCCTGATATCCTATGGGTGCTCAGAGTCTCGTTCCATCGGGTCAATGCGTCGCTGCCCAGCGCAATACGAGCGGGTTGTGTGTGCACGACGGCAGGAAAAACGGCTGGTCACAGACTCAAAAAAAATCCACAACGGCCCAAAGAGGATGGATCTCACATTGAATTAGCAGCCCGTACTACAGAATAAAACACCACAAAACTTCAGCAGTTGACTAGCTTGCATTGTGTTTTACATTCCCGAGGCTTTGCTGTAACAGAATGACAGGAAAGTGTAATGCATCCAATCAACAAATAATCAGCATTAGCGGTGACTAGCAGCACTGAGCACAGAGTATGAGAATTCATGCCCAGCAGGGCTGGTGGCCAAGCAAAACTAAAGCAAACAAAAAACACTCAACAAACCGGTATGATATCAGTTATAAATCACAGACTATCATGAATAAAATGCATCACATTTATGGGAAAACCACTTTTACAAAAGCCCTCGCTACACGTTATGCTGTTGCTGCAAATTTTAATCCAAAGATTTTAGTTTTTTTATCCCTAACACCCGATTAGAGAAATGTCACAACTTCATAAACATGGAGAGGTTTTTTTTAATGGCACGACAGGCTGCACGCTGCCTGATCAATCCCTGTGACATCACAGTTCCTGATCGATGCAGGAATTAACCTGCGCCAAAGTAATTCCGGACGATTTGGCGACTCCAAAACGTCATAAAGTGCTGAGGCACAAAACACCAGAGGGAACTTCTCCAAGATGACAGGAGAAACACTTCCTGTTCCCAATTCTTCATAAAACACTTCACTGCAGCAGGGCACAGCTGAATTTCAAATGAAGATCTTTTTTAACAGCCTAGCGTGCATATCTGGACAGGAGCATTGTGTTTAATCTACGACGCTGCAGTAATGAATGACTCTGCCCGGATGTGGTTATTAATAATGATTATAATGATGATAATGAAGCATATTGCCTGCACACGAATGACCAGCGCCCGACAGGTTCAGGTTTCAAAAGACCTTTATTTTTAGCTGCCCCGTGTTTGGCCAGTCAAAGAGAGAAAGACATTAATGCTAACTCAGACACAATTTCCATCCGCCCAGACGGGTGGTTGAAGCTTCTGAGCGATTCTCGCTAAAAACATTTCACTTTCCGCATGCCCCATACGGTGCCTTGGCCCACACCTGCCGGCCATCGTTACCACGACGACAAGCAACACCATGCAATAACCACTGCCAGGGCTCAGCTAACCGGCGCTCGTGGTTATTATCACGCGAGAGGAACCTGGTGGGAACAGCAGAAATGGCCCCACCTAGGTGAGGCAGATTCAGAGCTGTGCAAAATTCGCACCAGCATTTCACTCGATGCTGCAAGCCGCCATCGCGTTGGACTGCAAGGCTACCAGCCTCAAGCACTGAGCCACTTCAATACGGAAAGTCAGAGCCTGAACAAGGACACTCCGGACCAGCCCAAGAGCGACTTAAACGGACCCCAAGCAGACAAACATTCAGCTGTACACCCACAAAGCCATAGCAATCACATTTCGTGGGACTGTTATTTTTTCGTGAAGTTCTCATGAACTTTGACACATTTCCTTGTCAACACGCCAGCTTTTTTTTTTTTTGAGAAATCTCTTAAAATAGTTTTACAGCAGAACTTCTGCAGAAAAGGGCTACGTGACGAGTCAGCAGCCTGGTCCTGAACATGCCCGTGACACTTGCGGTACCAGAATCCCCCCCCCCCCACCCCCCCCCGGGGTAGTCTCAAACATATCCATGCCCATCGGCTGCACTAACTGAAATACGCGTGAAGCAGAAAAAAAAAAAAAAAAAAAAACGGTCAAAATAATGCAGAAGGAGCTGAACACGGGTGTTACAGGTGCATGGCGGCGTGGAGCTTCTTCCTGTTTTCATCACGTCAGGTGTGTAGGTGCAACAGCGAGACGTCTGCCCGCCGGTGCCATGGCAACAGCGCTAAGGAGGCAGATTAATAAGTCCTCAATTCGGCACCTGCGGCGCACACCAGGTTCGCGGTCTGGAGAAGGTTCCTGTGAGATACCGGGCAATCACGCGGCAAGAAGGGCACAAACAGCTGATACAAATGATGATAAAATCACATGCACATACAGTAGAGGGGGAAAAAAAATCTGTGACCCCTTTGGATTTCTGCATAAATTTGATGTAAAATGTAAAACTAAAAATTGTATTTATTTAGAAGATTCTTTTATCCAAAGCGATTGAGGAAGAGAGTCAGTCAGTGCCTAGAGCATTTGGGGGTTAAGGGTTCCACTCATAACTGTGCCAACACGGGGATCTGAACCAGCGACCTTCTGATCACACGCTGAGATACAGGCCATTTCCCTTGGGGGGGGGTACAGTGGTCAGTGGCTGCAGGGTCTGGATGCTTTGCAGCCATTGAGACTTCAATGAATCGCAAATTGCATCAGAAAATTCTGCAGAAAAACGTCGGGCTTCTAAATCTTGATACTGGGTCATACAACATGAAAATGACCCAAAATGCAGGAGTAACCAACAGATGAGCGACTCAAACGGAAGGAATCCCCTGTTTTAGGACAGATTAGTCAGAGGCCAGAGCTGAATCCCACTGATATGCTGTGAAGTGATCTGAATTGGGCCAGAAAGCACAAAAAAAAACACTCATGAACTAAAATAGTTCAGGATGAAGGAAATGAGCCAAAATGCCTCCTAATCACTGCACAAGGTCTGATCCACGGCTATAAGAAATGAGCTTATTTCAAATAAAGGTGGTTCCAATAGTTAATTATTATAAGAGAAATCCACAAATTCCAAGTGGTCACAAGCTCTCAGAACTGAACATGCTGGATAAAAAGGCTCCGGGTTCATGAAGGAGAACAGGCCATTATTTATGCTACTGCAACCCAAACCCACTTATCCAGGAAGGTCAGCTTCCTTTATTCCTCTGAAAAAGCCTGCAGCTCCAGACAGAGACTCTCTGATGCATTATTTCAGTTTTACACATACGGCCCAGTGGGGCCGCAGATTCATTAAAAGATATCCTGCTGCAATTCTGAGAAACCAGTATAGAGGGAAAGAAGGAAAAAATAAAAACTATTGGCAAAGAAAACTAAGAAAGCCGATTTCTCGAAATCCCGTTTTTCAGAGAAGAGCAGTTTTTTGGAAAAATCACAACTGGCAAAGGTGCTCATATTTTTTTGTTCATTTAAAACTTTTTTTCACAGAAGATGACCTCATGGCAACAGAGCACGCCAGTCTGGCTTCCTGCCTCCCAGATCTAAGAATCTGCTTTCAGCATTAAATAACCTGATTACTGCAAAAACCAGCAAGACAAGACAAAAACAGTCACTTACGAGTGACAATTTCAGCTTTCGCGAGATAGGAAAGCGAAGTTCAAACAAGCTTCTTGGGAAAGACTGTCATTTTTCTTTGTTAAGCTGTTAACCTTCACAGAACCCATACAAAAAAAAACAAAAACGTATATAGAGCATCCCAAGTAAGAGTTAAAGAGTTACATCACTAAATAAAGTTCAGGGCCTTTCGTAATGCGGCGTTTCAGTTTTTATAGCGAACTTGGGATAATATAGAACAAACGGAATCACCGTGTGTCACAGGCGGCTGAGGTGATGATTCTGAGAAACAGGCACTTCAAAGGGCTGTAACCCGAAGTGCTGCTTTCCCTGTACTGTACAGAGAGCTCGCGCGCAATTCTGCGAGGCAACACTCCTGGCCTGGTTTGGCTACATGCGGCCAAAAAAAACGGGGAATTAAAAAAGAGACTCACTCAGAAGCATATTCAAAGCACCTTAGAGTGAGGCCAGGGGAGGGGTCCAGCATGTCACCCCCAGTCTCCCTCTTACCTAGGCAGAGAGAGCTCACACCAAAGGAGAACCAATCTCTCTCCCCCCCCCCCTTCCTGTTGCTGAAAACAAAATGCACGCTTTCTCTAAGGTTTACAGGAAAGCAGAGAAACTAGGTTAGAGGAGGTGCAGCTCTCAGAGCAGGTATCTGATCGTATCAGCGCTCTACAGGAAGCTGGTCCCGACCCCCAGCAGTACTGGAAGGAAACAGAAACCAGAGTTTAACCAGAATTAGATAAACCGCACTCCCCCCCCCACACACACACATGCACCCCCACCCCGCTAGCTCTCTACCACCATCTTCTGCGTTTTTCGACTGCACATACAGGACACCCCCCCCCAACAGACAAGGACGAAGAAAAGAAATAAATAATAATAATAATGATGAGAAAAGAGTGGAATAGGGAGCTTTTCGGAAGCCTTTCACTTTAAGAGCAATGTGAGATTAAATATGAATAAGCATTACTGTTGGTTTTGATAAATGGGTTATGTCCTCAAAAACGATAGAAAATCTGGAGCATGTCTAATTGACACCCCCTCCCCACCGTGAATAAAACTAGGTTCTTCTCCAGGAATAAGTGGGAAACATTTCTGGGGGGAGGTGAATTCTGCAGCTTCCTGACAAATTCTGGGTACCTAGTTTTGCTGGAATGGAAAAGGTGGGATTTCCGCGTCCTGCCAGGGAGATTTAACAATAATGAACAAAGACCTTTTTCAAATACGTAGGGGGGGCAACGAGAGAGATGCATGACCTGCACAGACCAAAAAAAAAAAAGTTAATTTTTGATGGCAGCATGATGAAAGACAGACCACAGACGGAAATTAAAAAAGATAAGGGTAGATGTTCTGCGAGCGACCAGCAGAGACTTGAACGCACAGAGGATGGCAGATTCTGAGAAACACCACATCACACAGAACTGGTTTATTTAGAAACGGAGATGATTAAGGCGAGCTTATCGTTCGGCGCAGGACGGGAGCTGTGTTAAAAAAATAAAGCCTGTGGTGTTACAAGAATGCGCCGGCTTTCTCCGAGTAGCTATATGCACTGTGTCTATAAGAGAAGCTGGCTTTGCGCCTCAGGAGCCTATACAACACTCCAGTGTGCTTCCTCATGAAGACCTTACAGGCTGCTGTTAGCACTGTAAGCTATGCAACACTCCAGTGTGCTTCCTCATGAAGACCTTACAGGCTGCTGTTAGCACTGTAAGCTATGCAACACTCCAGTGTGCTTCCTCATGAAGACCTTACAGGCTGCTGTTAGCACTGTAAGCTATACAACACTCCAGTGTGCTTCCTTATGAAGACCTTGCAGGTTGCTGTTAGCACTGTAAGCAAAACAACACTCCAGTGTGCTTCCCATCAGTATAGAATGAGATGGCACAGCTTGTTTCCCTCCAGAGCCTGTATGCAGCTAAAAAAAAAAAAAAGACCTGGAATGGACCTTCTCAAAAGCCTTTACAGTTAGCGGTTAGCGGTTCTGCTGGCAGGTCCATCTCAGGCTGACTGGTTCATTCACGTCACGAGGTACAGCCTGCAGGCCTAAATGAGGACAGGAACAGCACATTTCTTTGTGGGCCTAAGAAAGCCATGCTATCATCACCCAAACAGCATTTCGCAGCACATTTGCCTTGGGGTGGGGGGGGGGTGCTTACAGTAGGCACTGAGCCAAGAGACCGTTTTGGAGGGGGCGCGGGGCTTCCCCCGCGGGCTCAGAGATGCACTCAGCAAAATCTCCGCTCAGGATATTGCCGATATGGGAACCCAATCGATCTGCAACAAAACCCGACCGCAAGACTTCCTCCACTGCCGCCAGCGCCCACAGGCAGCAGCAACACGCTGCGTCCGTCTGAGGAGCTCTTTGAAGCTCCAGGGCCCTCACCACGGCTGCCCTCGTCACGGCACCCATCGCATCAAGGCACGCAAGCCCACGTCTCCGTTTTCCTTAGCTCATCTCGCAAACCTGCTCAGAATCCATCTAAGACTGAGGAGGGAATGCTGGGTGTGAATGAAACTACAGCAGGACCCCACCCCAAGTAGACACGGCCAAACCTTGATGCCCAGCACACCTGTGTTTTCCTTCCATTGTCATTTTGGTGTATCACAACCCCCCCCCCAAATCTCCGTTTTGGTTCCTCTTGGCTGTTTCTGTCTCCGCCCCTATTTCCAAATAAGCTGGGGAAAAAAAAACACATGGCAGACCATACCAGTCATTAAAAAAAAAAAAAAATCACTGTAACTGTAGTTCCTCACTTTCTACCTTTGAGCAATTCAGAGGTGGCTAAAATATATGAGTGGTGAGTGATCACCATGCCACAGTGCCACCCAAAGGTTAAGCCTTGACACTTACGTGTGATGCCATTTTCTTCAAGAAACTTTTAGTCTGATGAACATCTCCAAAGGTCAGGGTTTGAGGCAGTTGTGGCTGCATCACCATGCACAGGCACCCTCATGAACAGCACTAGCTTAGAAGCTCAGACTGAAATTTTCCTCTGAAGAAAAAAACAATCAAGCCAGTCCCAAAGGAAGAGTCTAAACCAGGGTCAGGTCTAACGATCCTCAGAACATCTTGGTTGCCACCTGACTATCGGTAACTCCAAAGCCAGATATGGCCAGTGGGGGCGAAGATGGGGGGGGGGGGGGGCTCACCATTGTCTTTTGGGCGTCCTGCTCGGCCTGGGCTGAGAACACTGACAGGTCCCCGTCCAAGATCACCTCGGCCAACGAGTTCACCAGTGGCTGGTAATGGATGATGAGGAACACCTGGTTGCGAATTAAGAACGAGGGAAATTGCTTTTCACACCATCAATGTGGAGCTCGCTGTTAAATAGCACTGCAAATCCTTTCAGTTTCATACCTGAGACAGGAGGTACAGAGACACCTGGGGACTTATTTTGCGGTCTTCTGACTGCAAGGAAAACAAGCTTTTTATATCACCTCTACAGCACTGATTCGCCCCAAAAATACGCACAGACATTAACAGCCAGTTGCTCTCCTCAAACAGGAAGACATATTTTGCAAATCCATGTTAATTTAAAAAAAAAAAAAAAAACAGACAAAGGGAACTTGGGGGAACCATACTTACAACTACAGGGAACAAAAGGGGGGAAAAAACAAAGAAATCAAGCCAAACTGAATCAAGCTGAACCGAGGCCAACAGAGCTGAACCCAGCCAGACCAAATATTGCAAAGGGACAAATAGGAAGCCCGAAGAAGCTGACAGAGGTTCACCTGAGCGAGAAGACGGGTGGAGAGATGTAGAAAAGGAGCATGTCTGGACCCCATAGATAAACGCTTGTCCTAGACACCGTGAGATGATCACATAATCAGCACCGCGTCCACACCGGAGATACGGGGGCATGCGGTGGTGAGAGGGACAGAATGGGAGGGGCGCGGGGACTAGGGGTGAGGCCAGGGCCACTCACCTGCTCACTGCCGACCAGGGAGTAGACATAGAGGGGCAAGAAGAGGCGATTGAGTAGGTGGTCAGTGAGGACGTCATTGAGGAACTCGCAGTTGATGATGAGAATGTCGTTCAGGTAGTGCAGATGGTCCAGGTGCTCAGCGACCAGGTCACTTAACTTGCCCCGGTTCCTGTGCCTGGGTAGAGGGGGGTTTCAGAAACGGACACCCCGACGCAGCAATCAGCTGTGGCCAGTCACTGCATGAAAATATGGCTGCACCCATTACACCCCCCACCCCCCGAAATTCACGGCTCACACACGCCTTGCACTGAGATGTGGCTATATGGAAAAGGCCTCATGGTCAGAAGGTAACCAGTTTGAATGCCATGGCGGGAACGAGCTTTGATTCACAGACAGAAAACCACGGCCTCAGGCTGTCAAGAAGCAACAACACATAAAAACGACACCTGGGCCCAAATACGACTGTGGATCCTCGCAAACAGTCTCTGTACTACACTGTCCGTCTTCCATTCATAATCAAAATCTAGCTACTGGCTCCCGATTCATAGGTCAATCTGAGACCAGTTCATCATGCGTGTTAATTACACATGCTAACCGCAACTCCTCCCCCATGCGCCTAGTCTGAACAGGAAGTTCCCTAGGTCAGTGCCGGGTCATTACGGTCATGGGACACAGTAACGGAATAAGGAGATGGCAAAAGATAACTAACTGAGAGGAACATAAAGCTGTTCAACAAGTTAGGCTAAATATAACTCTTAAAAAGTATTTTTCAACATGCTTTTCAAATGCAGTTATTATTGCTATATGATTTTTATAAAAACAGCTTGGCTGAATGTAAACCAAAACCATTTGTACGACTTCAGTGCTAAGGGGAGAAAAACTTGCTACAGAAGGGAGACACTGGCATCTAGTGGCCGCATGTGTAATTGCACCCACACAGGAGGAATTAGAGGGGCTTACTCTTCATCCGTCTGCACACACTTGTCCAGCTCGATGACGTGGCTCCCGATGAACCACACCAAGTTGGAGAAGTAGGGTGCAGCTGTCTTGTCGCGGATGTAGTGCAGCATGTGCTGGTTGTGCACTGGGAGGACAGGGGACCAAGGAGACAGGAGGTGAGGTTTGAGAGTTTGTAGATGCTCCCTGGGGCTTTGACCTGACTGGGGAGGTTGTGTGCTAGAGCTTCAGGTACCAAGGCCAGTTAAGTGGTTAAAAAGCTGAAAGGGGTGGCCCTAAGGGAGGGTCTGCAAATGCGGTCCTAACAAAGTAGAGTGGAAAATAAGTTTTCAAAACACTCCAGCCTCTGGGGATAATTCTTCCGCACACAACGTCTGGATATGTGGACATATAGATGCATATACAGTATATCAATAACAATTAGTCAAACAGCCCCACTAAGGCTATGGAGGTCAGCAGCTGCTGATGGGTAACTGCATTTAAGGTCATGAACAGAAGGCAGGGCCACAAACAGCCCGGAAATGAGCCTTGAATGCCATGGTGGAGGGCCTGTCAACTGGAAAGGCCATGTCACACATAGGGGGGGTCTGATCACAATGGCAGAGCCTGACTGACAAACAGGGGGTCCCGTTGGGGGTGCCATTTCCACACTAAAATGAGAGGAATCTAAACTGTAAACTCTTTTGCTCAAAGACACAGACTTTCCCCCAGGGAATCTGCCGTCACATCAGGCGACAGTGTGATTCATAAACGCAAAAGGTTAAAACAATCATCACAACGGCAATCACAAGACTAATAAGGAGAGAATGAGTGAATAAATGCGGAAACGGGGCCGACTTACATGACACTGGGTTAAGGCACGCGGGAATCAGCAGGGTGAAGGAGGAAGAACAGACAGAGAGTTAATAGGGGCAGGTTAGGGGGGCAGGCTGGCCAGAGCATCCCACTGGGCTACTGCTACAGCAGAGAGAGACACAGGCTGGGGGGTGACACAGGGACAGCGGGAGAGAGTGGGCCGGGAGAAGCAGGGGCACAGTCGCGGGGCTGTACCTGGGAACCTGGGGGGCGACCTTAACGCCCAAGGCCGATCTAACCCAACCGGGAATGCGGCCTGCCACGTCAGCCAGCTAGAGCTCTGCTGTCCCTGAGATCAGCATCACACATTCTCAGCATCCCCCCCCCCGGAGCACAGACCACCACAACAGGAAGACAACCACTGCATGCATCAAGGGAGGGTGCTGGAGGCAACGCTGTCCAAGCTCAACCGCCCCCCCCCCCCACCCAATAAAAAAGGCCAAGCCCTGTGCTGCTATCCCCAACGCCTTGCGGCGATTCCACACACTGTCACATCATGAGGTTGTCAGGGGACCCATTAACCAGAGTGGCGGAGACCGAAACAAAGACCCCGGAAAGCAGGGCTTGGGAAACATACTGACCATATGCAGAGCCACAGGCTCAAGGGGCAGGAGTCTGTGTAGATCTACGTGGCTCAAGGGGCAGGAGGACTGCAGGGAAACCTTGGGTGCTGGAATAGCCTGGGTACTGTTACCCCACCAGAGAGCCATGCAGCAACATGTGCAGCTTCATTCATCACGGTCAGGGAATCGGGGGGGGGGGGGCAGGGGCGTACCCACCTTTATACACATTTAGTGTGATCGTCCTGACCGCAATCCTGACCATGCTCTCTGGGTGGTTGAAAAATTTTATGGCCTCCGTGTACAGGGCAAAATCATTGGTGTGCTGGAAGTGTGGGAGACAAAAAAAGACCGGGGGGGTGAACAGCATGACAGGACAGGTGACAGGAGTCGCTCGCAGAGACGCCAACTGGGGGCCATCTGATCCCAGATCAGTTCAAGGACTCAACAGGACTGACAACAAGCTTGAGAATCACTAATCACTGCTACAGGGAAATTAACAGCCAGCCATCTGCCAAAGCCACATTCAGACCACGGAGGCCAGTCATCATTTAGAGCTTAGGTATATTAGGCAAAACTTAAAATATCTTTTGTTTATGTAATATTTAAGGGGATAAACGTTCTCGAGATGAATAACCCTGAAGGACATAAAGTCCAATTCCATTTTAGACTGGTTTACGGGTGCTGAAGTCAGTCACCCAGCTAGTTGATATAGTACAGCAGAGATTTCGCACACACATGCACGTGTGCACACAAACGTGTGCACATATACACAAATGCATACGTGCACTAGGGCTTTCTATCGCCAGGCCTTGGGCAAGATGAACCGTATCGCGATACATCAATAAGCGAACCGGTTGGCGAGACATAAAAAGTAAAAACCACTATGCAATAATCATCTCTTTATTATCTGCAAATTTTCAGAATTACCAACCGTTCAAATAACAGGACACTGAATTACTTTTTTCTTCAGTGTTTTAATTCAGAAATGTCACTTTCCCGACCGATAGTTTACAATTGGATTAGCACGCTACTGATGACCTTATCGTGGTTAAAGTTCATTAGTTTTAGTATAAAGTTTGTGGAACCGCCACTTTATTTAAGTTTCATAATGTACGTTTTATGCACAAGATGGGAGTCACCTTTTGTAGAAACCCCAAAACATTTCCCTACTTTGGACACGCAGCAGAGGTATTTTGGAAAGGTCTGTTCTAGACGGTTTAGCTGTCAATTGTGCATCACATGCGTATTATTATTGATATACAACTGATCAACTAGACCTAGTCCCAAAACACAAGAAGTTTTGAATAATGTCATAAATCTTAAATTTTTAAGACTTGGTGATTAAAGTCCAAACAAAGACATCTTCCATATCATGACATTTGTTTGCTAGTGGAAATGCCTTTTGAAGAGTTACCACTTTTTGAACAATTGATGGCAATATTCGGAATACATACAACTATTTAGCTCTGCAACAAGAGAGCTTGTTATAATAATAGTGACTGAAAAGTAAAACACGGCCGGGGAAAATGATATCTGTGGTACAAAAGTATAAACATCAGGCATCCAGATTATGTGCTGAAATCTAATTTATGAACCAAGTAATAGAATTCACAAAAAAAATCTCATATAGCAATCTGGTTCAAACTATTTATTAGTATTCAAATTTTTATTCAAATAAAACTTGCCAAAAAATATGATTAAATGATGTATTAAAAAGATAACAGACCTAACGCACACACAGATAAATGCACACACACACACACACACATATATATATATATACACACACACACACATATATATATATATACACACACACACACATATATATATATATATATACACACACACACACACACACACACACACACATATATACACACACATATATATACACACACACATATATACACACACACGCACGCCGCTCATTGGTGTGTCACAGATGCCAGATGTTTCATCTTTTCGTGTGAGCCCCCCCACCCCACCCGGCTCCCCCTTGCCCCCGACACCTCTGATTGGGGGTGCGGGGTGCCCGAGAATAAAGAGGGAGCGACAGGTGCAGCCATTTACAGCCATTCACAGCCATTTACAGCCATTTACAGTATACAGTACACCAATGATTCTCCCGCATACAGAGAGGCCAGGGCCAGTGGGGCGGGGCCAGGCTTAGCAGGGCGGAGAATCACAGTTATGCGGGTCGGTAGGGTGAAGTAGAGTGCGGCAGGGTCCCACTAGCTCAGAAGTGCTACAGTCAAATACAGTCACCGCAGTAACACCCAACCCCCATGTGCTCAATTGGGCTCAAACGGAAAATCAGATGGCGCCAAGAAGCTTCTCGAAACATCAACTGTGTACAGCGACACATTAAAAAACAAAAACAAAAAAAAACCTCAACCGTACAAACATTATAAAATTCCAATGTGCCACTTTTACACAAGTCCTAATCTACCCCCCCCCTCCCCCTCCCCGAGAAGGATCACCTTACCTCATTATAGAAGAAATGTACGGTGTGATTATTAAGCTTCAGGGACAAGGTCTTCAGGAAGGAGATATAGTATGCCATGATCTCCTCGTCGGAGAAGTCAAACTTATGGACGATGATGGAGTTCACATGGTTGTTGGACAGCAGGTAATCTGTGTGCAAGAGGAGAGGAGGGGCACCGCTCATAAGCGGACGCTAGGAGGCGCTGTTGTGCTCGACGCCGGTCGTCGGGATACTTACAGAGCGAGGTCTCGTGACTTATGTTCTCAAAAAGTATGTTGAGGGTCTGCAGAAGCTGGACGCAGACGTAGCGGCCAGACTTCTGCCTCAGGATGTTCAGGAAAAACGCGAACATGTTCTTCTCCAAAAAGAAACTGCGGGAAGTGAGAAACATTCATTAAGAATCGTCGCTCTCACGGTGACATGATAACAGGCCATTTGCTATAGTCAAAATCACCCAAACAAGCAACACATAAAAGAGGCTCCCTGTAAGCCGCAGAGAACATCTTGAAGGAAGATATCAAGTGTGTGGTGATGCTGATGGATCCATAACTTGGGGAAGTAGTATCATGTGAGGTCTATGCAATACAGTCCTAACTTAAACACAGTTTTAATTTGCTTCAAATTTATTTGTCCCGATGCTTATGCTCAGCTGAAAAAGCAGGGACTAAAAACAATTTTAATTCTTCCAACAATGTTTCTGGACGCATGAAAAATGTTCCCAGGAAAAAAAAATCGACATTCTCTGCTTTACCTTCATGTTTTTGATCTGAACCCCAAATTTCATAAATACGTCAGATTAATTTTACTTCATTGTCCCAATCGCTATGTGCTCAATGTATAACCTGTATACATAAACATTCGGTTTGAAATTGATTACAAACGAATTTCAGAAGCAAACTTCCGTCTAACTACGGTCATGTAAAGGTTTAAATTACTTACTCAAAGACGGAGCTGTCATTCTGGTCACCCCAAATAAGGATTTCGGTTATGGAGCGAATGGTTTCCACCAGGAGATTTCTGTTGTGGTCGGTCACCGTGGTGTTTTTTGTCAGGACGTGATACATGTACCTTGTGGGGACAGGAAATGCAGAAATGTATGTCTAAGCTGAGGGACACGATCATAAAGCCGCTGTCACCAAGTGTCCTCTGCAGGAGACTCGGGACATTTTTGATCCGACCGGAATTTTGGGTTTCTTATTGTGATACAACACTGACAATGACACTGTCAGAAAATGAAGATTAGTGTCGACAATAAATACAGGTCGGTTTACCAGCTCATGTGTAGGGGCGTAAAGTAAAACTATACTATCTGTCGCGAAGTTAAATAACACCCGTTAAATATTGGTCCGGTCGCTGCTGGTGCCTACAGATAAGACATAACTGTAACTACGATCACGATAAATATGTACCGGGATCGCATTTATATTGCAAAGCTACTTAAGCATGAAGTTACGTACACAGACAAGTCGTTCATTAATGATTTACACACACGACTTGAAGAGCTCATCTGACCGACGCTTTTGCTGTTCCTTAAACCAAATGTGGGGGTCATCAACCAGCCGTCCAAGTAGAGTAGAAGCTAAGCCAAAACTGGAAGACACATTGGCGAACACTCACTTTAAATGCTCCAAAGAGTGGATGCTCTTGGACTTCCCCTGTCCTCCCACCCAGCTCCTGGACCGGCCGAACATGACTGCACTTCAATTGTTCACGCTCCTCGTAAGTGTTAAATCAGTCCATCGTAGCGCTGTCAAAACGGACAAATCCAACAAATAATGCAAAGGTTCACTGAAATTCGGCAACAACACCTTGGAGTACGCACTCCCCCATTTCCAGATTAACCACAGCAAATGACTGACAATTCCGGGTTCTTGCTAATGCATTTCGGGACTTGTGGTTTATTACAGTCGCCAGCGGATGGAAAACTGCGCGCAACACACTACGTTTCCCAGAAGCCCACCAAACGAATCGTCCGTTCACGCTATGACGTTTAGAGAACGGTGACAAGCCCCCAGCAAGCTCTCGCTGTACTTGGCTTTGGTGGAACCGTATTTTTAAAATCATTATAATGTCTGTAAAAGCTTTAAATGCAAGACGAGCAGGACATGTTTTATGATAATAAAAGTCACTTTTATGCATTAGTTGCATTTGTGCATTTTTCAGTGTTGTTGCATCGGCCATTAAACATCGTTAGGTGAAAAAAAGCAGCAAGGAGGCGGGATTTGATGGAAGTGGGAGCTCAGCTGACCAGTTAGACCCAAACCAGGCCCACGACCGGCACTGCAAAGGCGCTGATCTGACGCAGCTGAGTGCAGCGTAATCCTACACGCCGATGTGAAGCCATTTATAAAAGCCTTAGCTGTTTTTAGCCGTGCGAGTGACACAGTGCGGAGGGTGACATGCATGCAGAGCGAAAATGTTGCTCAGTCTCCGTGTTGCACCGTGATTAAGTAACATGTCTCTTCCTGACTACGTGCCGCCGCGTCCTTAACCGGCCATGACAATGATTGGTTCTGTGTTGTTGTTTTTTCTGCAGCTACGAATCTTGCGGGATTTTTTGTAAGATGTAGTTAAACCGCTTGGCGAATGTTACTCGGACTATGTTTCTACATTTTTACCCAACCCACGTCCCAAGGCCCGCTGGGGCTTAGTGCTGGCTGCCTAGATGCTGCTACCAACTAAAAATTTTCCACAAACAAACTGTCATGGACAACTTAATACAGTCGGCCGGTGACGGTGCTGACAGAAGTTATTTTCCAAATGGAAGGATCGCTCCATTTTCGTGCTTGGCTCCGGTCCCGTTTGTCTAAGGTTTTTCTATGATCCAGTCAGTCTATGCTCAGTTAGATTCGGTGGAATCGCTGTTCAACGACTTTCCATATATGTTTTATCTCGGCCTGTTTTTCGTGAACGTCTTAATCCTCTACTACGCCTTTCTCATGGAGTACATAGTCCTCAATGTTGGCATCGTCTTCCTGCCAGAGGATATGGACCAAGCTTTGGTGGACCTGGGCGTGCTTTCCGACCCCGGCTCGGTGCCCTACGACACCGACACGGAGCTTGATGTGTTTGAGGGGTACCTGGAGTGACCATCGGCGAGCCCCGCCGGGACCGATAAGTGCGCTGGAGAACGTGACCGGGTTCTGCCATGAGCGGGCCGGTGGCTGGGAAGGTTACTGCGGCGTCTCAGTGTGCGCCGTGCTGGTGCCGTGATGATTCAGCACGAAGAGGTCGATTAGCGTCCGATTTACCCCCAACGTTTACCATCCGACTGTCCGAGACATAAAATATTTGTCGCAAGATTGACAGGGCAGGTTCGATCTGACGCAACTAAAAGCAACGTACTTTACCCAGGCTTTGTTAATTCTCATCGTTGCTTTTCTGCTGCGTAAAGCTGTATATACACCTGTTTTAACAATGCTTCCTATAACGAAGGACATTATATCCGTTTAAAATGTTTTGACAGGTGAACTCAAGTCGATGGACTGCTGATTTGAAGTCCAGCTTACGTCACGTGCTTTCTCCAGTTGCCTTGGAAACGCACCCTAGATGGACAGCATGGCCACTAAAACTTCCTAGAGGCTGAACACGCAAAGCAATACTAACTTAATCACTGACACAAGGAGAGCAGTTGTTTTCTTCGGTCTGTGTATTAACTTATTTTGTAGCAAGTATAATGAATGTGCATCTCCGCTGGGCTTATATTTGAGCCGGGAATCTGATGTTATGCATCAAAAGTAAAGACGGGGGGGTATGGGGTGTTTCAGGACAATGGGGAAAGCTATATTTTTGATGGGTTAAGATTCTGTCTTAATCTGAAAATGACGCTATACTGAGCATGCAAATTATGCTAGTTTATTTTAAGCATCCACAGTGTGATATACTACCCTTTGCACTGATGGTGGGATCTTGTCTACAGATACAGACTTTTCTTAAGTATGATAAAAGTAGTCTCCTCTTTAGCAGCATGAGACTAATAAAGACTTTCATTGTTTTCTTTACCTCTGGGAAAGTTAATTTCACATTAAAATGTGATGGGTGAAAGAATAGTAGTCCTGGGTGATATGGATGGAGATGAGTTTTCTTTGAAGTGGCATATATTGGGACAGATAGTATGTAATCTTTGTGTGTTTATTGGTTGCACTACAAAATTCGACTTGTTGTTGTCCTGTAGTGGAAACATTTTTCACAAGCAAGCTGGTATTGGAGATGTTAAGCACCCTGGTCTCCATTCATATTTACAGTAGTGTGCACTAATGTAAAAGATTATGGAAAAGACATATCACTAATGGTGTACTGCAGGATTTGCATAATTGAATAACGGCAGCAGAAACTTGGAGGACCAAAAGGTCAACAAATTATGTGATCAGACTAATATTTCTGAGATCAAAAAGGGGAGCAGTAAAATACAATGGTTAAATGCATCCGTAATACCGTGTGCAATTAACGGACGTTGCTGTCATTTTTCAGCTCTGGCTGAGAAGTAGGAATAAAATTAGCAAATCAGAGGAACACAAGTGGAAGAGTATATAAAAGTAACGAGAATAGTGTGGAATTCGTCAGTTAACAGACAACATAATGCCAGCGATAACATTAATGTACCACAAAGTCCATTTCTGTACTTTAGAAGTTATGTTTACTTATAGCTAGGGTACAACTGGCAGACCCTTGAAGGTACAGCCCTAGTGACAAGTAATTGTACCCACAAGGGTACAAATTGATACTACTTTTCTGACAGACACCAGACTCACGATCCGCTTTCAAAGGCAAAACGGCAAAAGTACAGGCATAGCGGTGTACCAAAGGAGGAAATGTCGAAATTGGTTTGCGTAAGAAATACGTAAGGAACATCTCAGACATTAACCAGAAACGAAACCAGTAAAGAAAGAATTTCTTCACTGTTTAATAGCCGTCGTACAGTGCCTGCAGGTGGCTGATGCGATCGAGTCCGTAGGTATGGTTTCAACACTGGTAGGGGCCAAGTCAGCTCTGAATCCCCACCCCCCCCCCCTAAACATAGGGACATATCTCTCCTGGCCATACGGAAATCTCCGCCTTGGATGTGCTACACACTCAGTAAGGTAAAAAAAACAACAGGAATATTCATGTATAAAATCTTTATTCTGAAAACGAAAGCAGCAGACTGATTTTGTTTTATTGCTACGTCTCACCTTAGCCACCTCATTTAGTAGAAGAATAGCAGTAACAGTCAAAATTATGCTTACAGCAAGAATGCAAGAAATATTTCAACACAACATAAACAGCAGAAATACATTCAGACTCACAGTTCAATAGCTGCCATTGGGAAGTAGTTGGAGTTGCAGGAGAAAGTGAATTGTGGTATGATAATCCTCATTACAAACATAATTGCAATGATTACATTGAGGCTGTTACTGCAGTTCAGTTCATTGTTAGTAAAAACAGTGTCTCACAAAATAATTGTATCTACATTTAGTGTCCAAACAAGTAGTATACAGTATAATAAACAGTCAGGAATTTGGAAAGGAATCTTGATCAATAGACCTGTCTATAAAGTATTTGTTGTTTGCACGCTGTGGTGCGGTCAGGTTTTTTGTGCATTGTTTTTGTCTTTGTGCGATAGTTATCAGCTATAGTGACCTGATCCTCGGATCCTGTTGTTTGAGGTGCTCAAGTACTCCATGGGGAATGTAATGATTCCACATCCTGTTTGAGAAAGGTTCCTCAGTGTTAATATCAAAGAGGCAGCAATCTCCACCAACTCCCGTAATTTCATTAACTGACATATTTAACATTACATCACCTCCACCATTGTAAAACACCATAAAGAGAAGGTGTGTAACATGCACACCAAGATTTCCTGCTTTGTTTAGTGGTGATTTGTATAGCCGATTTTGCAGGTATTATAGGAGCATCCTTTAAATACTGCACCTCTGATTCAGAATCACTGAAATGATCCATTGTGCAAAATGGCTGACCTCACAGTTTTCATCCTTGGTGCGTTCTTCAATCCATGGCTCAGGCTCTGTGCCCCAACGTTGGTGAACCTGTTATCCTTGACACTGGGTAGGCAAAACCAAGGATGAAACACAGTTAGGACAGGTCAATACTGATTTACCCATCGCTCTAAACCAGGTGTCTCCAACTCCGGTCCTGGAGAGCTACTATCCAGTAGGTTTTCTGTCCCACTTGGCTTCTGATGAGTCACACCTGCTCCTGGTATTTACCTGAGAACTAGTGTGGTTCATCAGAAGCCAGGTAGGATAGAAAACCTACTGGATAGTAGCTCTCCAGGACCGGAGTTGGAGACCCCTGCCCTAAACTCAGCGATCCACTGCAAAGAAATGTGCAATTCTTTGATACTTAGGACTGTTCGGTTGCTTAGCAGACTTCCTTCTCTGTGACAATTAATTTTATGCGGGCTGGTATTTTCACCAGAGCAGTTAAAGTGCTCCCCTCTGGGGACAGCCGGAGGGCCACATGGGAGATACACTTACACTGTTTAGCTTCATCATGGAGGAGAGGGTCTAGCCCTAGATCTGTGTTTCCCAATCCGGTCCTCAGGGACCCACAGCCGGTCCACATTTTTGCTCCCTCCCAGTTCTGGGAGGGAGTAAAAACATGGAAGGTCTGTGGGTTTCCAAAGACCGGATTGTGAAACACTGCCGTACAGTAACAGATACTTATGCTTTTTGTTCCAGCTAATAATAATAATAATAAACAATGCTAACAGAATGATGCTATTGCATATGGATGTAAGGAAGCTACAGTGCAGCAGTTAAAGGTTCAGTCCAATCCGCTAAGCAGGGCTTCCCAGGTTTTTCATGACTGGACCATCATACCCTGGTAAGAAGGGGAGGGCTGCCACCGGGCCAGATTTGATACATTCAATCCCAGGCTGAGGACTGAGAACCTCTGCTGTAGAGAAGGACTAGCGTGTTTCACTGCTGTGCTGTGTGGCTTCCCTTGGGCTACGAGGCCATGCGCTGAGGTGCTACTCGAGCGGCTGTGTTAAGGTGCTAAGGCCCACGGGGGGCAGGCCATCAGAAGGCAGACTTACTCCAGGTCTGTCAGTGACTGGATGTCGGGCAGCACCTTGGCCAGACTCTCAGCCCCGCCATCACAGATGAAATTGCTGTACAGGCTAGAGGGAGACAGGGAGAGGTCAGTCATGTCAATATCGACGCCCCGCCAATGGCTAAGGGGCACCTCGTAGGTGTCTTGGCATTACCTGAGACTATGCAGCGAAACCAGTGACGGCAGGGCTGGGGCCAGCTTCTCCAGTCCTTTGTCTCCGATACAGTTCTGGGACAAACTGGGAGGAAATAACTACTCAGACCAATCCTTTCTAGTACAGCACTACATTTACATCACATTTACAGCATCATATTGTACCATCATATCGATACACAGGTGTCATTAAATTGAAGCAAAATGATTCAGAAACACTGTGCAGTGTATTTTACAGGACTGTGAAACACATTTCAAGACATGCCTATCGTGTCTTCCTGTCAGTTAAATAAATTGGAAATAAAACTTCTCTCTCAATTAATAATATTACTTGATAATATTATGTTTCAGACTGAGATACCATCAAAGGAGTCTGTGCTGCCTGAGTTCAGTTCCAGGCTCACCCTAAACTGCAATTTAAGCAGTGATGGAAGATGGAAGGATGCATGAAGTGGCCAGTGGTGGAAAGTTCAGGTCCAGAAAGTTCAAATCCAGACCAAGGTTTTGCGGAGCAGCTCCACCACCTGCAGTTCAGGCTAGGTGATCCCCCTGAAACTAAACTGGTTTGGGTCTGGCCAGTACTTTGATGGGAGACCAACTGGGAAAGCTGGTCCAACTTGCTGCTGGAAGAGGTGTTGGTGTGGCCAGCAGGGGGAGCCCATCCTGTGGTCTCTGCGGGTCTCAATGTCTAGTGCAGTGATGGAGACACTGTGCTGTAAAAATGGTGCCGTCCTTTGGCTGAGGTGTAAAAACTGAGGTTCTGACTCTCTGAGATCCCTGGGCATCTTTTGAAAGAGTAGGGGTGGTACCCTGATGTTCTGGCTAAAATAGCCCACTGTGGCCCTTTCAAAAATCTGGCCTCCTATTCACCCCCTATATCTAACTGGTGAATTCTCTCCTGCCCCTTCACCACCTTAGCTACTGTGTGGTCAGTGTACTGGTGCAGAATGGCTGCCGTCGCATCATCCAGGTAGGTGCTACACAGAGGTGGTTGAAGTGGCTCCTCATTGCTTCTGTAAAGCGCTTTGGGTCTTTGTAAAAGCGCTGCATAAATGTAACTTCCATTCATTCAAAGTTTTGTTTCAACCAACCAGGTGAGTATAAAGAATCGTAGTCACAGAGTACTCAACTGGCTGGTTGAAACAAAACCTTGTCCTAGATTTGTACTTTCTGAGCTGAACTTTCCACCTCTAGAAATGGCTGTGAAATTTAGTACTGAGTTGGTGTAATTATTAAGGTCAATTAAATTATTCTTACATAATAATCCCATGTGGGGGGTCCAGATCAAGGCAGGAATCACAGATGTATAATGCTGTGAAAAAGTATCTCTTACTCGACGTACAGTATTTGTATATTAATTTACAGGCAATCAGTGTACTGTCTGAAAGATCATCCTCATAGATCCAATCGAGGCCAGGTTGTCCCATCAACTACTAAACGAGAGCTGAACAAAGGATGCTTCTGGAAGTCTCCAGGAACCCCAGAGCATCATTAAGGGATCTACAGGCAGCCACTGGCACAAACATTAATTTACCTGTATTGTTGAAATGAGAATGAACTATTCGTATGTCCAAATATGCTGAACAAGATATTTCATGGTGTATATGCAGGGGCGTTGCTAGAGATTTTCGGCCCCATGAAATCATTTCATATTGGCCCCCCCAGTCCAGATCAATCCAGTTATTTTCCTGTCACTCAGGGGCCCTTGGAATCATCCAAACTCCCCCACTACGGTGCCCCTGGGTGTATGTAAATCAGTTCAGCACTGCCAATACACTCTACTAGGTTGAGAAGCAGTTACCCACTTCAGCATTTCCAGAGAGCTCAAAGCTGACAGAACAGCCGCCAGTTCTTCTGCTCCTCTATCTCCGATTTTATTGTCCTCGAGACTGGAAAACACCGAAGAAACACAAAATGTTAAAAAGCAAAAATTTATAGGGTGACCCAAATAGATCCATGAGAAAGGTGCTTCATTGACCACCAGACTTGTGTCATCAAATTCTTTGGGTGACAGCTGTGCAATGAGATGATGACCAGGGCTTACTCAAGATGCTGGAGCCATTGCAGTGCAGGTAGGACCTCCATGAGCTTGGTGAAGCCCATGGGTCCATTTGATGGGCCTAAGCTGAAGAAGCAAAGCACACTGGATGAGTTATATGGCTCCACCCCCCTTCACCACAAACCCCTCCCTCACAGGTAGCAGAGACCTCCACCAGTGGAGATGTTCTCTAGAACTATTCCCCAGCAAAACCAAAGAAGAGTCACGTGCTGTGATCTTCTGCCCATACCTGAGTTCCAGTTTCTGAAGGTTTCTAACAGCGGGAACATCAAAGGTGGTGGTTTCTACTGCTGGTTCTGACCTCAGATCACTGAAAAGAGACAGTGCAACTTTTTGGCAAATGATTTAAACACAAGTTGCATGTCACAGCTCTGACAGTCTCTCGAAATGTCAAACAGAACAGCCAAGTCGCTGCTCTGACGAACTCTGAAATGTGAAACGGAACAGCAGAACCGCTGCTCTGACAAACTCTCGAAATTTCAAACTGTACTTTTCAGAAAAATCCGAGCTTTATTTGAAGTGGTCAGTGCTCATCAGTGTTTACTAGGGCTGTGAATAAGTAAAAAATTATGTGATGAATTTCTGTAATTAATCACCATCTCCCTCCCTTTCATGATCTTTTCAGGATGTACAGTACAATGCATATGCTTCAATTGCAGGTTAGATTTCGCCAATATTCAGTGTGAGAATTAGTTTATTAACCATACAGACATTTTTAAATAAGGTTCCTCATCTTACAGTGCTTTTGGATTATTTTGTGTGTATTACTCACACCTGACAAAATAAATGTTACTATGTCAAGACAGGAATATTCCACAAAACACTGTTATTATTGAAAAAGAATCCACTGTTTTATGTTTGAATGAATGTAATATCTAAATGTACTACTTGGGGAAAAGATTTCATGGAAAGTTAGACGGATGTCAGTGGATCTGCTGGTACGTTGAAGCAGACAGTGAAATTAATCCTGAGAGGTGGCTGGGAGCTGTGGGATATGGTTTGGGGGAGGGGGGGGCTGATGCTTCTCCCTCTGCTGCAGTAATTTCGGAAGTCAGCCATTTTGCTAGACTGCATGGTTGACATTAAAATATTACCCTGTGGATATCTTCCCTCCTCTGTAAATCCGCACCAGCATGATCAGATGGTCTACGTGGTCCAGATGTGTGGCTTTTAAGGGACTGATGGTGAACTTCCTGATGGTGTTTTGCAAGAGCCTCTCTTCACATTTTTTCTGCAGATCTTCCCACAGATTTATTGTGTCCTCTATCGACGCCCTGAAAGAACAAAGATGGTGTCATGGCATCGACAAAGTAGTGGCGATGGTTAATTTATTCAGCTCTCCGATTCCTGACCTGAATGACTGGACACACTTCAGCCCAAGTATGTCTCTCAAGCCCTGGAGGCCAATGCCGGTGTCCTGCAGGTCGATGGAGAAGCTCCTCTTCATGTCTCTGGCTTTCTGTAGGAGGTGCTGAAGGACAAAGACGTCCGGGGAGCTGAGCTGGATGCCGCAGAAGCGCAGGTCTTCCGGAAGGTTCCTGACCAAGTGCCGCGTCATGGCGGCATCGGCAGCCTCATAAACGCAGTGACACAGCTCCATCAGCCGGGCGGGGCCCAGGTCGCCGGGCTTCAGGCCCCGCAGGTGCATGGCAGCAGCTGCCTTCTTGGCCACCACCGCTGCCGTCGCCTCTACTCTGCCCTTCTGGAAGAGCAGGCCAAGGGCAAAGCGCCACGTGGCCTCCAGCCAATCCGTCAGCAGCCGCCGCCTCTTCTGAGGTGCCGTCAACTGGGCCACCAGCGCCTTGTCGCTCACATCGCGGGACTGCACCAGGTGCAGGGCGGCCAGGAAGCTCTGCAGCAGGGGGTGGGCGAACCCGTGACCCTGCCGCTCCTCAGAGTCCTTCGCTCTGGTGAGGTATGTGGTCAGCAGTCCACATTTTAGCCCAAATTCCTTCAGCTCTGCAGTGTCCTTCTGATCCAGAATGGAATTGTGGTTCTTCACCCCAGCCCAGGCTATGCAGCAGAGCTTACTCAAGTGCGCCCTCTGCTGGGCCATTTTGGAATCTTCTCCTTGAGTGTCTGAGTGCATTTTTTTGTCAAGCACCTGTTGGAACAAGCTAGTGAGTGTTGAGGGCAGTCTCTCCGAGTGCTTGAGAAGGAAGCACATATACCTGCATATGAGTGGGTTGGAGCAGCGGCTACTTAGGTACCGTTGCTTCTTCAGTTTCTCCAGGGCCTTATCACCTCTGTCTCTGAAACACTCCGAGATATACAGCGTGATGTTTTCCGGAGAGTAGCCACAGAGCTCCACAATTCTGTCCACCTTGGCCAAGAACTGGTTGAAGACCCCCTTAGGCCTGGCCAAGATCAAGAGTGTACATCCGCGGAGCAGCTTCTTCTGGAATATTCCGGCAAACAGTTGCTTGACGCTGAAGCGTTCCTTAGTGTTGCAAGTGGCCGGCGAATGTAGAAGGCCCTCTGGGTCCCTGAAGTCGTCGAAGCTGTCGAAAACGATCAGGACTTTCTGGGGCACGCTGAGAACATGTTTGAAGATGGCGGTGGTGTTTTTGCAGGGTGGGGAGGAGGACAGATCGAACAGGAGCTTCCTCAGGCTATAGGTTGTATGTGGGAGGTTAAGCACCTTGCTGTCCAGCACAAAGATATACTCGAACTGGGGGAGGTTGCCATCTGCCCAGTCCAGACAGAGTTTCTGTACGAATGCGGTCTTGCCCCCACCGGCCTTGCCGAGCAGAGCAATCAGCCGGCCGCCCTTCTGCCCCATGTCCTCAAAAAGTTGCCCCATGTGTAGCACGGCCCTCTTGCTGTCAGCGTCGCTGAGCATCACCAGCTCCTTCTCCAGACACTTGCTCGCATTCTTCCCAGTCTTAAGTCGTATCTGCCTCTGGACCAGGGGAACGTCGATGTACTGGGACTCCACGGACATCTCGTTCTCTGGGTCCGTCTTCCGGGCGATTTCCCTCATCAGGGCCTTGACTGACTGAGTATAGTCCTCAGCGCATTCTGGGGGGTGGGGGAGTTAATTTAAAATCAATCCATCTAAATCAGTGTTTCCCAAACTGTCCCCCAAACAGTTAATATTTCTGCTCCCTCTCAGCTCCCAAAAATTTGGCCTGTCTGGCAGGAAGCTGGGTGGGAGCAAAAATGTGGATTGTCTGGGGGTCCCCAAGGATATGATTGAGTGTAAAAGCCAGAACTCACTGGGTTTTCCTGGCGCAGGTTCAGATGGAGGGGTTTGGACTGGCGATTCTTTGCAAGGCGACGTATCTGCAAATGCATATCCGATATCTCCATTTAATATTTTTTGCTCCTTCAATTAAATGTGTAGTTTTGTTCAACACTGGTGGATTTAGGTATGGGCAACATGGGCAGTGTTCGCACGAGAAAATTCGGAATGGTGACATTTGCCTGCTTGGTTTTCTATCGCTCATTTGCATGTGACGCCAATGGTATCACGCCACAGTGTGGGCTGATCAACCTTGTCGAAGTGTGCAACTTGATTCCAGTTTGCAAGATAGGCAGGCTACCACACCAGAAGTAGCCCGAGGTGGGAGGAGCCGGGGAATCAATCAAATAGTGCACCTCTGACTTTGTACAGTATTAATGTAATTAGTTAAATCAGTTTTAAATTCTACAATGTTTTACTTGAACTATTCCAAGTGTCTTAATAAAAATGGCAGTTACTACTAAATGGTGCTTTTCTTTGTTATTGGGGGGGCAGCATATGGGAGATAAACAACATACAGGCGAGAACCGCTACAGCTGTTCAGGAATGTTCCTGTGTTTGAGGTCAGTGACGAGATAAGTGAGGACACTCGCTTAGATTGAGGGTTAGCTGAGGCTAATGATTCATGGATGGATACCACAGGAGGTACCTCTGGTGGGAGATGGGGTGGGAGTCTGTTCCGGATATGAGGCTTGGAATGCACTGTCCAAACAAGAACTGCCCGGGGTGGAGACCATGAAGTCAGAGGGAACTGCAGCCCCAGTGCCTGATGGGTAAAAAAATACACAGGTATAAAACTGAGCTCAGTGTGACATGGCTTGAAGTGGCTCCGCCCACAGAGAATCTGTGAACCACTCGCTGGGTTTCTGCCTCTGTGGTGGGGTCCCCGTTGTGCCGTCTTACCAGGAGACTGCGGCATGACGTGAGTCACCGGCGGCAGGTGCGACTGGGGCACTATGCAGAGAAGGACAATTACAGAATGAATGAAACACCATTGGGATTCACACCTGTCACCCTCCTGCTGCAAAATCAATCCTCCCCTTAAAATAGCGCCACCTGCTGGTGACCATGAAATAAAGTAATATTCTGCGTACCAATGACATAAGTGGGAGGTCCTGGATTGGGCACGGAGATGTTTATGACCTGCTGTGGGTATGTGACGGCTGGGATAAGCTGAATCGCAGTGGCACCTGTGAGAAGACGTGTGGGGGTGGTGAGGGAGGAAACCAGCTCAGCCTGGAGGGGGGGGGGGTTTGGCTTTCCATGCACTCACCCTCACAAGCGTTGACGAAGGCCGTGGAGATGGAAAGGGGCAGCAGGTGGTGGATGGTCTGGAGGAGTCCCTGGGGGGGTGGCAGGGCAGGCCCATTTGGGGTCTTAGGACTGCTGGGGGCTGGGAGGAACAAACAGCCTTTTTTCATTGCATAGCTGTGAAACATTAGTTCGAAGACAGAAAAAGCCCCAACATCCATATTTGGCCTAGATAGCATGAACCATGACTGCTACCGGAAATAAGAGAAACCACACTTCACTGTTACGAGTGTTATTTGAAGAAGTACTGCAGCATTTCTTTAACTGCCGCTACGTTTCACCCTTTGTGTGATAATTATTTGTAATTTCTATTTTGTTATTTATGAGTTAACCTACAATTGGTGAGAATGAGCTGCTCTAATTCAAATGTTGGAAAGAGACATAAGCAGGGCTGAGAACTGAGCATAAGGTAAGTAGCAAAATACACCAGCTTGCTAATAAAAAAAAATGCATTTTTTTTTTTACTGAACTAGCCCAGTTGAATAGCACCAAAAATTCTTCAGTTCCACCCCAGGGTATAACAAAGTATTGTAACAGACACACAGACCAGCTATTTTATTGGGTAGCTTTTAAAAATATATACTTTGTCTGGATACTAAGCTTGATATGCCCATGTTTGACACTATAAAATGACCAGTCATTTTTGTTAGCTGTCTTTGTTCATCTTTGGGTGCCTTTTATCTCTCAGCATTGGCCCCATGTGAGCCATTACGCGCCGCTGCAAGTGCAGCTCCGCCCACAGGCCTGGCCACGCCCTCCATTCGACCTTTGCTCCGCCTCCCCGTCTAGACCCCGCCCACGACTCGCCACAGGCACCATCCGTCACTTCCGTCTCCTCGAGCCGACAGCTCTGCTCATTATTTCCTATTATTGGTTCGCTTTCTTTGTTTGATTTATTGTCTATGACGGTTTTTGGTTTATTGGTTTTCTGTAACTTCGCTTTGGTTTATTTGCTGTTTGGTTTCGATCTCTCGCCCGGTTTTTGGTTTACGTCTTCGGGCGACTTTTGCCACTTTGCTCTGTGTATGTTCTGTGTGTGTCGGGTGCATAGGGAGCGATTGCCATTTGTTTATGCTGTATGCTGTTGTTTGGATAGGGAGTGAGGCCTAGTATCGTACGCGTGTCCTGCTCCTCACCCATCTGGCCGCTGCGTGACTCTGTTCCCCGGGTTTTCTTTGACACACGACTTCCGGCAGGACCTGCGGTGTAACACAGCGAAGTGTCCTATTGATGCCTCAAAACAGACAGGAGACAGACACAGTCTGCAAGTCCCGATTAACATTGAATGATGGACGACCTCGCCTGCTGCGCTTCCTGGGAGCACCTCCGCGGGATGGACTTGCTGAATGGCTTCGTTCTGGAAGAGAAGGAACACGGGCGAAGAATGAGAAGGCAGACTCTACTCCACTTGGCATGACCCACACCTGGATCGAGTATTGGCATGAGCCTGGTGGGCAGGGGCAGGGTGTGTTTGGTTGGGGGAGGAGTCAGATGGAGCAGCTTTAGTCACCTCTCTTCTTCTCTGGCCTCTTGCTCTCTAAACTGGTCTCAGGTGGCTCCCAACTGGCTGGTTCGGGAAGTGAAGGCTCTGTCAGTCCATTGACTATTGCAACGAGGAAAAAAAAAAGGCATTACAATGAGAATAACAAGGTAATAATAATAACGTTATCTAAGCGCCGTTAGAGCCACACCTTAGCCTGAAATGCCTTTGAACTGACTTATGATTCATAGAAAAACGTAAACATATAAACAAAAGTTAACGGCGACAGCCACCTACGGGATTCTTCCTCACTCAGAATCCGGATCAGGGTCTCTGTGGAAGAAAAGACCATTAGAAAAACAGCACAAATGTGTAGATCAAGTTCAAACAAGCAGCCAAGCTGTTCCCCAAGACTACAAAGTGTTGTGAAGACCCCCAGGTCCCTTTATCTGAAGCCGATTATACAATCATTTAGAGCAAAGTTATAATCAGTGTCTCTCTTTAATGAACCAAATACTTATTCATTCCTTTTTTTTTTTTTAAAGACTGGCATTTAGGAAATGAAAGTATCACACAATCGTCCACGCAGGTAGGAAAAGAAAAAGAAGTTTTGCTTTTGTCCTACCAATGCTGTCATTTAAGTCTCCGTCTTCTGTCAAATCGTCATGCGGGTTTGGTGAGAAGATTGCATAATCATCTGGCGGGGGGTAGGGACACATGAGGAGAATGAAATGTGCACTTTTAAACAACGCTTTTATCCAAAGATAATAGATTTTTGCAAAAGCAGGGTCAGTCCCTGGAACAATTGGGTGTAACCTTGGGCCTTGCCCAAGCGCCTAACGGTGACATCACCCTGCCGAACCTGGGATTTGAAATGTTGTCCATCTGAGCACAGGTGCAGTGTCCCAACCCACTGAATTACATGCCAGTATTGCAATTAGTTATTAATCGTGGGCAGCTGTGTTAAACATCTGGCCATTGACTGGCAACAGAGCATGTGGGCGGAGTGGATGAGAATCCACATTCAAGCAGAAATCATTTATTTCCAGAACTGAGCGATATCAGAAGGTGGAGCGAGACAGAGCGAGAGGTTTTGTTTTCCAAATATGCTGCTCTGATCTCGCTCCCACTCCTCTTCTGGCCAAAATCCTTCCCTCCCGCTCCACGTTTGCTCCGGCTCTGGCCAAAATCCTTCCACTCCGTTCACATGACCGGCAACCTTCTGCTTACAGCCACAGCTCCCCAACACAATGAGCAATACATAATACATGCCCCTTCCATACAGCTGACTGTATTTGGTTTAGAGGAGGGGTTTGTGCTGATCTTCACTACTCCTCAGTCAGGAGCAGGGAACTATAAGAGGGCTTACTGGCCCTGTCAGAATGGAGGGGGGGGGGGGGGGGGGGTAAATCACCACAGAAAATTCACAGAGCTGCTGGGTCAAGGACAGTGCAATTACTGGCTGAAGCTTGTAACCATACCTACCAAAGTCCTCGATGGAAATATGTTCCAGGAACCCGAGTGGATCTAAAGTCATTTCCTGCATCCCTGCTCCTGCAAAAGAAGCCAATTTTCACCTTCATGTTGAGAGAGCGATAGAGCAGTCCCAGACTCATGTTGCAAAAAGCCTGTTATCAAGAGCCTTGTTATTGTTTGGGTGTTTTTGCTCCCACCAAACCACATGGGCATATTTTTGCAGAGTTGGGTTACTGCAGCACATGTGAGTAATGCAACCATCCCTCAGACAAACAGCACATGCACTGTCCTCTCGACCGGTATAAAGGTCGCCAGTTTTGTCAGTTCACCTCATCCCCACCAGATCATACATGTACCCCCCCCCCCCAACAACACAAAAGTACTTGTTCATTATCTTTGCAAACTAAGAAGACCGTATAAGTACATTACATAGTTTAGAATAAGAATCAGTTTGGTTGTAATTATTAGTGTGCTGTCCTATCATGGCAGGTACAGTTTTCAAGCTTCCAAGGTTAACAAGACCAAGTCTCACCAGGTTAAATATGTAAGGGCAGAGGAATGAGGCAGATATCCTGACCTCCAGAGAGACTTTTGGGGCTTATTATGTCTCGAGATAGCTGGAGCAGTTCTGACAATAACTGAATTATATTCATCACCATGGATTGCATAGTTATTTACATTTAAATATGCAGTGACCATGTTTATATATCTATACACACACACATACACACACACACACACACAATCATATCTTTGTGAGGAGCGCTCATTCATTCCTGTGGGGAAAATGCTAACGCTAACTATGACAACCGTAACCCCTACCCAGCCCTAACCTTAACCATAAGTAACCAAACAAAATACAAGAGTTTCTGCATTTTTAGTTTTTCGATTGCAGTCATAGATTTTTAGAAAACTGAGCTTTTCCCAGAAACTGGTTTCCATAAGGTAAAACAGCATTTGGTCCCCACAAAATAAGGTATATCTCAAGCACACACACACACACACACACACATTCACACACATGCTGAGGAAGCAATGATTATATATCTACTTAGGGCTGCTGGGGGCTGGGAGGGGAAAACAGCCTGTTTATATATATAAAAAACTGGTTATATTAAAAAAACTATTTATATTAAAAACAAGAGACTGAAAAACGGCACGGCGGGTGGGGCGCTGACGGTAAGTCATGATGAATGTTTGCTGAGAGGGGGCTGAGGAGGGAGAAACCACAGACAGGATGCTGGACGGCCATGTGGGATGCTGGATGTGACTGAGGGATTTCATGTCTGGTGCGAAGCAACAGAAGGGCTACTGTGGCACAAATGGCAAGTAATTCTGATCATACCTGTCAAGTTTTGGATTTGAAAATAAGGGATATTTTCCGGCACCCACCGCGAGCCACCTCACCACCCCAACCAAGCTCCAGTATCCCTTACATTTTAAGACAGGTGTACAAGAAATCTAAAATAACCACTTGTCATTTACATTTTATTTTCATTACAAATTTTCTTTTAATTTCTCATGTTCACTCATGTGGCTCTCTGGCATTCACTAATGACTTATTATACAGATTTGCTGCAGACTTTGTATCCTTGTTGAAGTCGTCACAGAAGGTGAAAGTAACGTTGTTTTTGGCACAAGGCATTGCCATTTTAACCTCCGCATTTATGACCTGGTTAATGTTGTGAATGACCTGCAGACTACTGCAGGTGGCAGTTCTCGCGAGGCTACTGACAGTTCAGTTTGGAGAGGCAGAGGAATTTTTTTTTTTAATGATATAATAATACGGGAGATTAACGGGAAAATACTAATACGGGAGATTTACGGGAAAATACTAATACGGGAGGACGGCGGGAAAGAGGGGTAAAATACGGTAGTTTCCCGGCCAAAACGGGAGACTTGACAGCTATGATTCTGATGATGATTATGGGAATTTTAACTGCCCACTTTTTTTTCGACATTGTCTGCATGCCCGGTGTCGGGCAGCCAGTTGACATTGGACCCTCAAGGTAATTTTTTCCTCTCTACTCAGGTGTTTTTGGCTCCTCTCCTCCGTTGTCTGTCTGTCTTTCTTTTTCTCGCTCTCATTACTTTGTCCTCCTTTTTGTATGGGATTTGATTTGTGCTAATATTATCAAGCAAAACTTCTCACTGAAGCAAAAGAAATGTCATCTCAAAAGTAAAATGTATAACTTGCAAACAAATTTATAGCTTGCAAATGTCATCTCAAACGTAAAATTTATAACAACTTGCAAACAAATTATTGGTCTATTGATAATGTTTTCCTTTGTTTACGCTGCCAGCTTCCTCGCTTGCGCTCCCTGACTTTTTGTTTACAGTTCTGACACAAACTTCTCGCGTGGGCGGGTTTTTTCAGGAAAAAACCCGCAAAATGTATAGTGTAGCACAAACAACATCAACACTTACACTTTGTTAATCTTGTTGTCGGATCCAGTAAAAATTAGTTAGTGGGTATAGTGAATGTACAGTCCCGCTGTTAATTAAAAATGTCTGTGGCATTGAGCTGTCATTCAAAAACGTATTAGCCAATGACGCGCCCCTGAAAAAACCTTGGGCCGACTCTGTTGTGAAAGGTAATATATAAAATAATTAACGGAACTTAATAATAAATCATGACATATAGTGCGTCAAGCCCTGCTGTGTATGGGCCTGAATAATCGCAGGCCAGTCATAGTGCCCATCCTATGGAAAGTCACTGCCCTCTGCTATACAACCACCCATTCTGCCGCTGATGTTTGTAGCAGAAGACTGCATAACTGTGGGCATGGGTATGGCTAAATTAGTTAATTACTATAATTAATAAGGGTGTCCACTTACTTTTGGTCATATAGTGTAATTTTTAACCATTTGTCACACATGCATAGGCTACATAGTAAAGCTTTTCTTAGCATTTTGCGCTATTTTGCACTTTCAGATTAGATGCCAAAATGCGTTTCATCGACCGTGTACTTGTACTTTGCGCAAAGACAATGAAGCTTAATCTAACCTAGTCTGACGCCCACGGGCATAAAATACGGGGGGATGGGGGGGGGTTGTAGCCCCCACAATAAATTAAAACCAGCTAATACAAACCCCACCCCTCCCCAATGTTCCAACCAAATTTAGGCCCTTGCTGATGCCTCTTGGATGACCCCACCGAGATTTGCGCTTGGATGATTAGTTTCTATAAAAACATTTTACGCCATCCATTTCTGTACCATACATCTTCGTTGCGATTTCAAAATGATCCCGAAGCAGCTCCGGATGTACTAAATCCGACAACGTCACCTGCCGAGCGGATTTTTGTTTTTGCACAAACCACGTGGTGCTGTACACGGCACTGCCAGCTGGTGGAAAATTGGTGACTTGCAGGTATCAGGTCGATATTCTGCCATACTTGAATAACTGAAACTTTGATCCTGTGGACCTCATTTTGTCACAAAGTGGATTGGTCTGGGCAAACCACGACACCACTTGTAAGATCAATGTGTTCAATTAAGGTGGAACGCTTGACAAACCTTCCATCCATCCATCAATTAATTCAGCCATTTGTTCCTCTGCATGCGCGCAGCAAGCCACGACATGTTAGTTTACAACGGCAGACAAAATGAAAAATCAGATTAATCAAAAAACGTCTGGCGAAACATGCAGTCGTGCGACCTCCGCAACAGATTCGAGGTGTTCACCAGCTATTCCTGCTGTGGTGATCTACAGCAACTTACTTTCTCTAAGCCTACATTTGGTGAACGATGACAGTCATATGTATACTTATGCATTAAGTAACGCTCTACGAATTAGTAATGACATAACTGGACAAATAGTACCTATTAGTAAAATTCAAAGTTCAATATTACACATGCAATTAGACGCGCAGATAAGAAATATAAATTATTATAAATTAATCATTTTATATATATATATATATATATATATATATATATATATATATATATATTAAACGTATAAATATGATTATTTATTCTGGTTAACCTAGGTAGCCAGTTCTATCTGCTTGAAGTTATTAAGTTCGATACGGAATTCCCCAAAAATACCCCTACAAGTACAGCAAAGTTTACACGTTTTAAAATCTACTTAACGAATACATATAAAACCATAAAATGAACGAGAAATTATAGGCAACATATTGTATCTTTACAAATAGAATTACAGAAATTACAGTAAAATGCGTCAGAAATGCGCTCATTCTTTTAATACGCGTGCGACACAAATATTTGCGTAAAAATTATATAAAAAGTGAGAGCTTTACCTGCGTCGTATAAGTTAAAATTCCAGCTTAATATATTTACAATTATGTTGTTAAAAGCCCCTTTTTAACGAAATTGCAGAAGAGGCTGCTCCTGGTGCGTCTTGGTGAGCCTCGGAGAAATAACTTTTACCAGTTTCATTTTCGATACCATTCAGCCGTTGTTTGGTGAGGTAATTAATAGTCGGCACACTAAACGATGGTCTCAACCTGTATTAATTTACATTTCTCCGCTTCGGGTAGTTTTGAAACAGAACATTTGCGCGTTATTGCAGGGGAACGATGTTACACAAAATAACTGGCTACACGGACGAGACAAACTACCAAAACATTTCCTTTTCAAAACGTTCGCTTACATTCGAACTGCCATCACCTGTCTCGGCAGGTAATATGGTGCTTTGGCGCCAGAATTTTCGTAGCGCGGGATGGTAGGATGATAATAAAAAGGTGGCATTTGTGGAATTCAGGAAGACGAGCGTCAAATGCTGTAGTGGTCATGAAAACATGGATATGTTATGCACAAGGAAATCAAGTGTAGTCTAGCTGTCTCACGTTAGGTAACAGAGATTTCGTGGCTTTAAATTGTAGGAGGGAGGTTTTAGACTATTAAACTTTACATCAGGTTTGAGCTTGGCGTGAAAACACAGATTGGTGCAGAAACACGAAAGAGACTGACGCATTAATGCACAGCAGGTTTGCGAGCCGCCACTGACCGTTGGAGGAGGGTTGGCAGGATGCACTGGCGCTGTCCCGCGCTCTCTCCAGCACCGCTCCGATGGCACCACAACAGAGATCCCAATTCTGCCACACAGGCAGTGAAATCCTCCGTGCCACATCCTCGGAATCCCACTCCTGGGAGAGCAACAGGCAGTAGTCCCTGGAAAGGACGTGAGCCTCGGTCAATTCCGCCAGTAGCCCCTGAATCTCCGGGGGCGAGGCTTCCCGCAGGGTCCTCTTCACCTGGCCCAGGACCTCTTTGAAGGGGATCATGGCTGTGGGACCACCCCCCCCCCTTTCCTCTGAAGGGCTGTCAGATCGCACCCCCTGGGCCTGGGGATCTCAAACGCGAGCCACCAAATCACATGGATGCCGATGTGACGAGCGAGGAGCAGAGAGTGAGACGGAGGCGGTAGATGGTCCGGGTCGTGATCCAAAAACGTATCGGAGCGGCAGCCCTGGGAGCTACCTTATCTTGCTGCTGAAAATAAAAAAGTGTGGAGGCTGGATAGCAGCTGAGTTTCACATGTGTTTTTTTTTGTGATTTGGGAAACCATCAGATGAATGGTGATTAGATGGTCAGCAGGGACATTCTCTCACTTCGCCTTTTTGGCCACTTGGTGAATAGAGACAATACCTGCCTATTTCCAGGTCTTTTATCATGTTGCCTAGGAGTGGCACGTAAAACCTGCAGCAACCAAACACAATATGTGACATTAGCAACTGGCACGCCGCTCTAGCAGGAACCCAGGAATCCACGGAAGATTCCAGAGCCTCAACTTGGGTGTGGACTCAATCAGTGATTCTAATGCGGCGCTGACAAGTTAAGCTGAAAGGGCACCGCAGTACATGGGGTCGCAGCAGATGCCTCCCATCTGCGCAGGAAACAGCCAAACCACCATTTTCTGGTTTATCGGCAGCAGTGAGCAGTTGCCATTCGGTTATGTGTCAGGTCTTACAGTGGCACTGCTTCGGAATCGCCAAAGTTCATGGTTGTATAAGGTCACTGTATGACAAGCCACCCACAGACTGTAATAGTAATTTCCAGAATGTTTGAAATAAATGTGTCAGATTATTCATTATTTTATTCATTTAGTACACGCTTCTATCAGATTCGGCGGGGTTAAGGGCCTTGCCCACTGACCCACCACGGAAATCACTCTGCTGACCCTAGGATTTGAACCAGCACCCATCTGATCATAGGCACAACTTATTTAGTGGCTGAGCCACACAGCAGCAGTGCTATTTGTTATATAATGCAGAAAGCCAGGTATAACACCCTTTGGTAATGAAGTCCAGTAGGTCGATTGTTCAGTGTGGTACACGGGGGTGCACTATTTGACCGTTAACAGTGGAACAAGATCGCCCTTATCACCCGCTCAGCTGTGTCTGAGCAAACAGACACCGTCCATTGGAAACCCACCCTCATTAAGTCCCGTTAATCAGTCCGTCCCTCTGGAGCTTATGCATCTACCAGTATTTTCTCTTTCATTCTGGTCCGCATGAGGAAATCAGGGGAAAACCGCAGGGAAGTCCCCCCCCCCTCCAAAAAAAAACAAAAAAAAAACTTCAAAGATGCAAAAAAACAAAAAACAGCCTCCCAGACACAATGTCTGGCAGCGTTAAATATCCTTGTTTTATAGTTCACAAAATCCAGTGGCAGTGTTGACATTTTCCAGTTTGGTAATTTGGTTTATTCAAACAGTGGCAAATAAGGGAACTGGTACAGTACAAAGCATGCCCGCTGCCCTGCTAAAACCAGGCAGCTATAAACTGATTCAAAGCAGGTAAAGTTCAACCCAAGGAGGTGCCAGATTGACGTTTCACTGCTCATGGCTCTGGTGGTGAGCAGAGGGCAGGGCGGTCGGTCTCTCTGCCAAACATTTACAGTCAATCCGGAAAGTTTTCCCCTTAGTCACGTCTTCCACATTTTGTTACGTTACAGCCTTATTCTGAAATGGATTAGATTTTTTACCTGTAAATTCTACACGAAATACCCCATAATGACAAGGTGAACAAAAGTTTGCTTGAAATTTTTGCGAATTTATTAAAAATAATAAAAAAAAATCATATGTACGTAAGTATTCACAGCCTTCGCTCAATACATTGTTGAAACACCTTTGGCATCGATTACAGCCTCGAGTCTTTCTGAGTATGATGCTCCAAGCTTGGCCACCTATTTTTGGGCAGTTTCTCTCCTTCTTCTTTGCAGAACCTCTGAAGCGCCATCAGGTTGGATGGGGAGCGTCGGTGCACAGCCATTTTCAGATCTCTTGAGATGTTCAGTGGGGTTCAGGTCTGGGTTCTGCGTGGGCCACTCCTTTGTTATCTTGGCTGTGTGCTTAGGGTCATTGTCCTGTTGAAAGGTGAACCTTTGCCCCCGTCCGAAGTCCAGAGGACTCATCAAGGACGTCTCTCTACATTGCTGCATTCATCTCTCCTTGACTAGACTCCCAATCCATTCTGCCAAAACTGAGTGGCTTGTGATCCCGGGTGCGAGTCCCCCCCCCCGCTTTTCTGGCCACGCTACCAAACAGGCCTGATTGGTAGAGTGCTGCAGAAATGGTTGTCCTTCTGGAAGGTTCTCTTGCCACAGAGAGCTCTGTGAGGGTGACCATCGGGTTCTTGGTTACCTCCCTGACTAAGACCCTTCTACACCGATCGCTCTGATTGGCCGGGCGGCCAGCTCGAGGAAGAGTCCTGGTGGTAACAAACGTCTTCCATTTACGGATGATGGAGGCCACTATGCTCATTGGGACCTTCAATGCCACAGATTTCTTTCTGTACTCTTCCCTAGATCTGTGCCTCAATACAATCCTGTCTACAGACAATTCCTTGTACTTCATGGATTGGTTTGGGCTCTGACAGGCGCAGTCAAGTATGGGACCTTATATAGACAGGTGTACCTTTCCACATCATGTGCAATCACCTGAATTTACCACAGGTGGAGTCCAATCAAGCTGTAGAAACATCTGAAGGATGATCAGTGGAAACAGGATATACACCTGGGCTCAGTTCAATTTGTATTTTGTGCAGAATTTTGAGGTAAAAATTAATTTAATCCATTTTGAAATGTAAGATAACGTGGAAAAAGTGAA